GATCCGAAGTCGGATGAGTGTTCTGGAGAGGTTGGAACAACGGTTGAACGAAGACGATGATGCTCGAAAACGTGAGGTAGCAGCGTTGTTCAAAGCTTCGCTGCAACAACACGAGGAGGAAGAGGAGGTGTCACACACCATCCAAAGGCCGGGCAAACAGATCGCGACCGGAGATGATCGGAGCGGACTCGATCGTGCCGGTGGCTCAGGATTCCGTTCGGAGACGGTGATCAGGGGTGGTGAGGGACGCGGACGTTCACGAAGCCCCCAAAGCCGCCCTTGGCAACAAACGGAGGGAAGAACGGACGAGTCGATGCGCAAACTGAAGATTCCTCTGTTCAACGGGGAGAACGCGGAGAGCTGGGTGTTGCGTGTGGAACAATACTTCGAGTTGGAGGAGTTTTCTGAGGAGAGGAAGCTTCGTGTGGTGAGGATGTGTTTTGATGACGAGGCTCTGTTATGGTACCGGTGGGAGCGAGACCGGAATCCGTTTGTGAGCTGGGAGCAGATGAAGTTCCGCGTGCTCGAACAGTTCTCTCCAGACCATGATAAGACAGCTCGAGAACGATTGCTGACGCTGAAACAGGAAGGGACGGTGAGGGAATACTGTCGTGACTTCATCTCCCTCGCAACAAACGCGCCGGAGGTGCCCGACGAGATTTTGGAGACGGCTTTCATGATCGGGTTAAAAGCCCAGATCCGAGCAGGAGTGAAGCTGATGGAGCCGCGAAATCTTCGTAAGATGATGAGCGTGGCCAAGTTGGTGGAAGAATGGATGGGTTACGCGGATCCGACGCCGGAACCACAGAGTGGGAAAGGGTTTCGGGGAGGGAATTCGTCGGTATCGTCATCAACGGTGACAAAGGGAAGTCCAACAGGGGGAAATGGGCCTGGGTCGTCGGCCAATCAAAAGCCCAAAACATTTTTTGGGGCAGAGAAAGCGGCCCAGACTGACAAAAAGCCCACTACTCAAAACCCTAACAACGGAGGAAAGGGGCGACCACCGTTTCGACGCCTTTCACCAGCTGAATATGCTCGTTACCGGGCAGAGGGATTATGTTTCCAATGTGGGGGAAAATCTCACTCACGTAGGGACTGTCCAAATAAGGAGCTGATGATTCTGGTGGTCCAAGAGGAGGACGAAGAGGAGTCGAATGAGGCGGAGGAAGATGTGGAGCAAAAGGAGGAAGGGGTGGAATTCGCGGAGTGTGCAGCGTTGTCGGCGAAGTCCGCGGTGGGTATCTCATCACCGAGAACCATCAAGCTTCGAGGAACGGTGTGCGGTAGCCAAGCTATTGTCCTCATCGATAGTGGGGCTACGCACAACTTCATCGATTATCGCTTAATGGAGGGGTTAGGGCTAAAGGCGGAGGAGACAAGGAGTTTCGGGGTGGTTACTGGGTCGGGCAAGCCAGTTCGTGGAGGAGGAATATGTCGGAATGTGACATTGACGATGCAGGGCTATTCCGTAACCACAGACTTCTTGCCATTGGAGCTCAACAATGTGGACATAATTCTGGGAATTCAGTGGTTGGAAACCTTGGGGGAGACACGAGTGAACTGGAAGCTACAAACTCTGAAGATTCCAGTTGTGGGGAAGATGATGGAGTTGCAGGGAATCCCTGACATCTGTAGTTCGGAAGTCTCACTTAAGGGTTTGCAGAAGGTGATGGAGCAACAGGAGCTAAGTGTATTGGTGGAATGTCGTAGCATAAAGGTAGAGGAGGGAAAGGAGAAGAAGGTCCCAAAGCGTATGCAGAAGCTGTTGTCCAAGTTTGAGGGGGTGTTTGAGGAGCCACAAGGGTTACCTCCTGCTAGAGACCGTGAGCACGCGATCACTTTGGCACAAGGCAGTAACCCGGTTAGTGTACGTCCCTTTCGCTATCCTCACGCTCAGAAGGAGGAGATCGAGAAGCAGGTCGCCTCTATGTTAAAGGCAGGAATTATTCAGGAGAGTATTAGCCCATTCTCCAGTCCCGTGCTATTGGTGAAGAAGAAGGACGGTAGCTGGCGTTTCTGCGTAGATTACAGGGCCTTGAACAAGGTGACAGTAATGGATAGCTATCCCATTCCTATGATTGACCAATTGTTGGATGAACTACGGGGTGCAGCGGTATTCTCTAAGCTTGACTTGAAGGCAGGATACCATCAGATTCGGGTCAAAGCAGAGGATGTTCCCAAGACAGCATTCAGAACCCACGATGGCCACTACGAATTTCTGGTAATGCCGTTTGGGTTAACTAACGCACCGGCCACATTTCAGTCAGTTATGAATGAGATCTTTAGGCCATTTCTGCGACAGTTTGTGTTGGTGTTTTTTGACGACATCCTGGTGTTTAGCAAGAATCAGCAGGAACATGAGAAACATTTGGAGTTAGTGCTCGAGAAGCTCCAACAGCACCAGCTTTATGCCAACAAGAAGAAATGTGAATTTGGGTGCTTGAGTATCGAGTATCTCGGTCATGTTATCTCTGAGAATGGAGTGGAGGCTGACAAGACCAAGATTACGGCGATGACTGAGTGGCCAATTCCGAGAAATGTTAAGGCTTTGAGAGGGTTCCTTGGACTCACGGGATATTATCGACGTTTTGTGATGGGGTATGGTGAGATTGCAAAGCCACTGACGGATCTCTTGAAGAAAGATAAGTTTGCTTGGAATGAGGAAGCAGAAGGGGCTTTCAATAAACTCAAACGAGCAATGACTTCAGTTCCGGTGTTGGCGTTACCTGACTTCAAGGAGCAGTTCATCGTGGAGTCTGATGCATCTGGAAAAGGGTTGGGAGCCGTCCTAATGCAGGGGAAGAGGCCTGTAGCGTTCTTCAGCCAGGTCTTGTCTGAACGCCAACAACTTAAGTCAGTTTACGAGAGGGAGCTAATGGCTATTGTATTTGCCATCCAGAAATGGCGCCACTATTTGCTGGGAAGAAAATTCATTGTTCGAACGGATCAGAAGAGCCTGAAATTCCTACTGGAGCAGAGGGAGATTAATATGGAGTATCAGCGCTGGCTGTCTAAGCTGCTGGGTTTTGAGTTTGATATACACTATAAACCAGGATTGGAAAACAAGGCCGCAGACGCGTTGTCGAGGAGAGACAATGAGGTAGAATTACATGCTATGTCAGTTCCTTCAGCGTTACAATTCCAAGACATTGAGGCTGAGGTAGCACGTGATGAAGCGCTCCAGAAGATCATGAGAGAGGTGTTGTATGACCCCAATACACACCCGGAGTATTCAGTGGTCCAAGGAAGGTTGCTGAGACGGGGAAAGTTAGTCATACCTCGAGAGTCCAGGCTGGTTGGTGTTATCCTACGAGAGTTGCATGATAGCCTCATTGGGGGGCATGGGGGCGTGCAACGTACTCAGAGGAGGGTAAGTGAGCTGTTCTTCTGGACAGGGATGATGTCGGACATCAGGCAGTATGTGGCAGCATGTGCGGTGTGTCAACGTCATAAATATTCAACATTGGCACCGGGGGGATTACTTCAACCTTTAAGTATTCCAGAAGCAGTTTGGGAGGACATCGCTATGGATTTTGTTGAGGGTCTGCCCAAGTCTGAGGGATATAATGCAGTATTGGTGGTAGTAGACAGGCTCTCGAAATATGCTCACTTCATAAGGCTCCGTCACCCATTCAATGCGACTGATGTGGCGTTGCTATTTGTTCAAGAGGTGATTAAGCTGCATGGGTTTCCGAAGACAATAGTTTCTGACAGGGATAGAGTGTTTACCAGCCAGTTTTGGAGGGAATTATTTCGTCTGTCTGGAACCACTTTGTGCATGAGCACGGCGTACCACCCACAGTCTGACGGGCAGACAGAGGTCACGAACCGCGGTCTGGAGACTTATCTGAGGTGTTTTACCAGCGAGAAGCCAAAGGCTTGGGCTCGTTACTTGGCTTGGGCGGAGCTGTGTTACAACTCTTCATTTCACTCTGCCATCAAGATGACTCCATTCAAAGCAGTATACGGCCGAGATCCGCCTGTTCTTATCAAATATGAACTAGGATCAACAGCTAATGCTGACTTAGAAGGGAAGCTGGTTGAGCGTGATGAGATGTTGGTGGTGCTAAGAGACAACATTCACAAGGCTCAACAAATGATGAAAAGACATGCAGATGGTCATAGGAGGGAAGTGACTTTTGATGTGGGGGATAAGGTATATGTGAAGATCAGACATTATCGGCAGCAGACTCTCGCGCGGCGAGCTAATGAGAAGTTATCTGCGCGTTTTTATGGTCCGTACGAAGTGTTATCGCGCGTTGGAGAGGTGGCCTATCGTCTCAAACTTCCAGAGGAGGCTAAAATCCATCACACGTTCCATGTGTCTCAGCTTAAGAAAGCAATTGGAGGAGATGCACCGGTGGCTCTCCTGCCAACTCAACTGACGGCAGAAGGGGTCCTTGAAGCTAAGCCTGAGAAAGTATTGAGCTCCAGGGTAAGTCCCATCTCTGGACAAGATGAGTTGTTGATTCAGTGGAAAGGGTTACCAGCATATGAGAGTTCATGGGAATGGAAGAGAGTCATACAGGGTCAGTTCCCTGAGTTTGACCTTGAGGACAAGGTCAATTTTGCAGAGGGGAGTAATGTTAGCTATGAGTCTGTACGACCTCCGATTCTCTACACGTACGGAAGGAAGAAGAAAGGGAAGATGCATAAAGACGTAGAGGGAGAGGGTGACATGTCAGTGGTGGATGAGCACTGATTGGATGCTTTTGGCTTTATGAGGAATAAGGAATAAACGGCGTTGGTTTGCTGGAGTTAACGGCTAACGTCTAACGTCCCACGAGTTGGTGACTTTGTTTTGTCGTCTTTTCTATTTATAGGAGAGAGAGAGTTGTTAGGAAGGGTATCAAGAGATTTGATCAAAAGTTGTAAAGGNTCTAACGTCCCACGAGTTGGTGACTTTGTTTTGTCGTCTTTTCTATTTATAGGAGAGAGAGAGTTGTTAGGAAGGGTATCAAGAGATTTGATCAAAAGTTGTAAAGGGAGGAGAGAGATCCCTAGGAGAAAGTCTCTCGAGTCTTGTACACGTTTTGATCTTTATATAAAAATCTCTTTAATCATTACAACCCATAACATACCCTTCCATCTCCATTCCCCGCTAGCAAAAATCCCGATAAACGCGACACAGGTGGCCACTAGACAAGTGTTGATTTGCATTTCGAGAACCACTGAAAACGTCTCTTTCTTCAGAATCTTCTCAAAGGAGAACTGCATGAGGGAGAGCAATAAAGAGAGTAGAGAGCTGATGCAGCGAGGGTACACAGAAACCCGAAAATGAACTTGGACCTAGAGACACCAGAAGAAGGGGAGTCCGCATCGTCGTCGTTAAGCGCAATCAAAGCAGCAGAGAAGGAGAGGAGCACAACTGAGTTGAGAATGAAAGCAGTGAACTTGTGTGCATTGATGAAATAAGAGAAGACCGCATTAAAAGCTAACTGGGTGGCGCAAATGAGGGAATAAGTGGATGCAGAGAGGTAGAGAAGTCCAACAGAGACAGCATGTTGTCTCCAGCGATAACGACACCGAGCAGAAGATAGATGAAGACAATGGTTTTAAGGGAGCAAGAAGCGGGATGTAGAGGATGGGAAAAGCAGCGGTTTGAACAAGAGTGGCCATCCATTTGCTGTTTCCACCTTCATAGTAGTAAAACCTACCAAGAAGGACAGAAGCAGCTTGACCACCAATGAGGAAGAAGATGTTGATAAACACAAGAACCCACCATTGCCAGCTTTTGAGCTTCAAGAGTGGAGATGGAATACCTGTAAATCCAATAATAAATTAACCCATAACTTCAACTTTACTCTGTGGAAAACAACGCATCCTAAAGCATAAACATAATCACCAAAATCATAAACCCTAGAAAATGATCCTAAAATCAACATCAAAAAGCATAAAGCGAACAATAAACTCTTTGTTTCCTTCAAGAGTGGGTGCGGCAGCAGGGTTGTCAGCCGAGGTTAAGTCATACGGCGAGATGGTTCTTCTCACCTCAGTCGTTCCAGCTGCTGTGGTCGGGTTCGGGTTTGTCGTGTCCATGATGGATTTCAATTTTTCTGATGTATTGAATTGAATGAACTGCCAAATGTGTGTTGGTTGAACCGGTGTAGACCAAACTCCAACACATATATGTTCTAAAAACAACCACCATAGAACCAATTTGCAGAAGAAAAAAAAAAACACCAGAGAACTACTCCATATGTGAGACTGTGGAACAAAGGCAGAGGAATTGAAACAGAAGAATAAATGGAAATAATACACGTGTTCGTCACTTCCTCTTGAAAAGACAAAGAGTAAGGGTGTTATTGGTTTATACATTTTAATAGATTTGAAAATATAAGTTAAATCTAGTGTATTGGTTCTATGATTTTAAAATCTATATTTAAATTTATTGTTATTGGTTCTATGATTTTAAAATCTATATTCAAATTAATTGTTATTGATTTTGTGATTTTAAAATAGATTTTGAAATCAAATGTTATTCAATAATAATGATTTGTTTAAGGATTTAATTTAAACTTGGATTTGAATGGACTAATAAGTGATTTTAAGTTGAAAATACAAAGGAACAAATATTGAGTTAAACCTTGTTATTTTGATCTATATTATTGGCTTTCTAGAAGAACCTTGTTACTAATAACCCCTTACGTAGACACATTATGCTGACAAATTTCTTTCGCACCAATTTCTATACGTGTATTGCATACGTTTATTATAAAGAGCACTAACAATACTTTTGTTAAATGGTAGTAGTTCTTGAAAAAAAATCCACTAAAAAAAAATAAGCACTCACATACTTTCGAAAGTTTTCTATTTTTTTTTTTAATTCCTATTGTCCAATTTCTACATTTTCCTAATTAAAGTAATAGTTTTCTATATTCTGTCGTAATGGTTCATCATAATGTATATATAATCTATATTATACATTAGAAAATTAACACAAGAAACAAAACTTGAAACTTCTAAAAGAATTAATGGAACAATCACAACCAAAACCACAAAAACGTGGAAAAGGTCCTTATGTTCAATGGAGTACTCAAGAAAATAAAACTATGATAAATCTACTTTTAGATTGTGTTGCTTCAGGTTCACGTTATAGTAATGGCAATCCATTTGACTGATTTATGATAATCTAGTATTTTGATTTTGAAATCCATAGCATTGATTCTGAAATCTACTTATTTGCTTTTAAAATCAATGGATTTATAAAAAAAATTATAAATCCAAGGAAGAATCTTAAATTCATCAAAATACTATAACCAATAACCCCTACTAATAGATTAGATATAGTATATTATTCTTCTCTCTTCATCCTTTTTTCTTTCTCTTTTACCTATCAACCTCCTCATTCTCCTCATCTCCTATCCTCTCTCCTCCTTCCCTCTTTCTCTTCCTCTTTTTTTTCCTCCTCTTAATTATGTCAATCATAGAATAATCGTCGTCTAGTTATTTCCTAACCTAGAAACAGTTATAATTGAGATGTTGATATCTATCAAGTTTTCTATACTATTTATTTAATAAATATAGTATGGTACATTGGTTATGGACATATAACATGTCAAATACACTTTACACACGATGAATGAGTTTTCTATCTACTTTTTAGCCAAATCCAAATACACGTTACGTTAGTATGCATACATCCCACCAATCCAGATGCCTCTTTCATCATACAGTCATCATTTTTTTCTTTTTCCATCTGCAGACTTTGGAACCTCCTCGGAGGTGTTATGAACATATAATTTTTTTTCCTTAACCACCTTGTCGGACTATTATACATCACATGTAGTATACTAATGATTGTTTCCTCATGCCTTTATATGTACTAATTCCATACATATGTCTCCTATATAGTATCTTCCAACTTAATAAGAATATGCTACATAAAGGACTATCAATTTGAGTTATGTTGTTATCTTTTTCCTATAACTATAAACTCTATACATTGGTATATTATTTATGCCTTTCCCATACACGTTATATTATAGTCTTATGTATATGTTTCCTATATTGTATATTATGTATATGTTTCCTATATTGTATAGTCCAACTTAGTCATAATATGCTACATATATGACTATCAACGTGAGTTGTGCTGTAATCTTTTTCCTATATTATCAATTGTATACATTGCTATATTATGAAATGTCTTCTGGATACATGTTACGTTAGTGTGCATACGTACCGCTAAACTGGATTCATGTTTCTTCATACATGCATCAATTTTGCTTGTCTTCCAATGTACACATACTTTGGACCCTCTTCTTATGCGTTTTGTGAAGAAATTTTTTCCCTTTCCCGGGCTACATGAACTATACTATATCACATATATTATAGTACCTTATGTCCATTCATTCTCCTTATATGTTATTTTATTGCATATATGTCTCCGTTTTTGTACAATCCAACATTGTGACGTTTTTTATGTTCTAAACTTCTATAATTTTTATATTGTTCCATTGAAGACACTCATGCCGCCCCAAAAACACATGGTGATGCTCTTTTTTGTTTTTTCTGTGTGTATACTAAATCATCTATTTGATAGTATAGTTTGGCCCTATAACCACATAAGTTCCGTATCTAATAATGTGATTGTCGTACGCAAAGTGTAATATTAGCAATGTTTCACTCTGGTTATCTCTTCGCACGCGAGTGCAAAAAAAAAATGTCCGCTTTTGACATAAATTGTCACATCAATTTATTTATAACTATATTTTTTATTTCATAATTTTCTATGAATATTGCACAAATTCACCCTTACTTTAATCAAATAAGTTACATTGGATCGTTATTTGAGCTGGGAATATTGATGTTTATTTCCTAATAAGAGAAAAAACCTAAACTATCTTAGACCAATTCCTTTCGTCAAATAGAAAAAGTATGTCATCCTAATGATGACTGGCTTTTCAATAATCTTCGACATGGTATTTTTCAATGTTGTTTGAATCGGTGACCTAAAAGGATCTGCATAAATTAACCTGTTTTTATAAGGAACCAACCTAACCGGAAATAATTTTCAAAGAGATTTTGTTTTCCTACAACTTCCACATATATATAGACTTTATTTATCTTGTGTGCACACAAAAAAAAAAGAGTTTATTTATCCAATTACTTATCACATTCAAATCCAATTATCAATTTATTACGAGATTCTATGTACAGGTAGTAAGTACTATTTTCTCACTTCTCTTACATCTTTGTAATAAACCAATTTAATGAAATAAATCGGGAAATTGTCTGTAAAAAACAAAAGAAACTGTCTAAAAAGACTGGTTAAAAAAGAAAATAAAAAAAGAAACGGTCTAAAAAGACAGCAAAGTTCCCACTAAATAGGGTTTAAAAACATAAGTAAATAGGGGTCCGCTTCTCGATTAAATCAACATATAACATTCGGTCTGAGTTTCTAAACCAAATGTATCATGTAATTGTTTGGTTAAACTTAAAACGAATGAACAGAATTCAAAATCTCTAACAAAAGTTCAAGAAAAATACAGCCGTTCGTTTGTCAAAAAAAAAAAAAAAAGTTCAAGAAAAATATACGTAACCTTTATGTATCCAATTATTATGACATTCAATTATCAAATTGTAATTTCATGATACTTTTTCGGTTAGGTACAATTTTTCTCTGTAATAAAACAAAACTAATGAAATGAGAGCGTAAATTGTCTGTAAAAGACAAAAGAAATAGTCTTAAAAAGACAGTCAAGTATCCACTAAAGTAGGGGTTTAAAGAACATAATTAAAAAAAAAAAACCCACTTCCCCTATTCGTAAGCCAAAGTTAAATCTCAAACACCTCATTTCAAAATCCAAACCTAATAATAGATCACGAAAAATCGTGTATTTAAGAAGCTCACAAGCTCTTCAGTTTTCGATCAGAAGATCTTAAGTTTTTGTTTGAATAACAAAGCAAAAGGCAATAAGTAATAACTAACTAACTAATAAGTCAAGAATAACGTAATAATGGCTGGAGGAGCATTTGTATCAGAGGGTGGTGGAGGAGGAAGCTATGAAGGCGGAGTCACCGGTTTTGTCATCATGACATGTATCGTGGCCGCCATGGGAGGTCTCCTCTTTGGTTACGACCTTGGAATCTCAGGTCTGTATATTCAACATTCCTCTTCTTCTCTATGAGTGACTGTGACACTCGTTTGTTATAGTTTTATAGCTCGCTTCAGACATGCAATTTCTTATAATTCCTCCGTTTTATAATAAATAATGTTTTAAAAGAGTTTGTTGTTTTATCAAAAAAAAAAGAAGATTTTTGTTGTCTCAAAATAGAATACTTTAATAGTTCTATGTTAATTTAATTTTATTGAATATCGTTTAGCTAACTATATTTTGCAATTTTTGAAGGGAAAAAGTTTCTCAGCTACACGAAATTTACACTAATATGGTGGAAACCATCCAATGTATAAAAATGTGTCAATAACTACACGAAGTATATGTTAATACATGCCACATGTACGAAGTAAATGATATTATGGTGGCAACATCACAATCAGATTTAATTGTTCTTAAGCTAAGTTAATGGGATCAATCTGTAATTTATGAAACTTAATAAACTTAATTGATTTTAATTATTAAAGTTAATAAAATTAATAAACTTAATAAACATAATATCTTTTATAACTTAATAAAATTAATAAACTTAATATTTTTTGTTAAACTTAATAAATTTATGAAACTTTATAAATTTATTAAACTTAATAAATTTATTAAACTTAATAAAATTATTAAACTTCATAAACTTAATAAACTTAACAAACTTAATAACTTATAAACTTAATAAGTTATTAAACTTAATATACTTAACAAACTTAATAAACTTAATGATTTATTAAGTTTAATAATCTTATTAAGTTTAATAAATCTTATTAAGTTTAATACAATTTATTAATTTAATAATTTTAAATTTGATAAAATTAATAAACATAATATACATAATATTTTTTAAAAATCTTAAAAAAATTATTAAACTTAAT